AGCTGTGCACATTTAGAAGGCAAGGCACACAAGACAACCACATATTCTGTGTTGAGTCATCCTGGATGTCCTCCACCCTTCCCAGAAAGCCTCCTAGCCACTCTGAGGTCCCTGTGCTAGCCCTCAGCTAATCAGCATTTTGGGGCTAGCCCCTCTCATGGGCTTCCCTTGGCTTCAGGATAAGGGAAGGCTTATCASGCTATGGTGAAAATCTGCATCTCCAGTAAATCAGCAACTTCAACAGGAGGCCCTGATCACCAGCTCAGGCCCTCCACAGGCTCTCCTACGGCCTGTAGGCTGACCTACAACTAGATCCAAACTCAAATAACTTACAGGAGAAAGAGAAAGTTGTCTTATTTTTCCCYGGGTACTCTTTTTGCCTCTGTTCATATCAGGAAATAATATTCATACTCTGCTGTTCAGCCAAGGTTGGAAATGAACCAGCACTGAACTAGATACATTCACAGTCACCACTGGCCATCACCAACTGCATATAGATTTCCAATAAACAGGTCTCATTCATTGYGAAAATTAGATAATTGAAACAATCTCTTAGCTCCAAGGCTGTGGTCTCGGATGCRATGCACGCGTGCTGCCTTGACAAGYAGGAGCTGCYGTAATTCACTTCCACGCCACCCTGCCACCCGTTCTGCTCGTCCATAATGAGAGCATTTTGGGAAATGCCAGAGATTAYTGGCTGGCTCCTACCAAAATTGCTATTCTGCCTTAATAAGGCCTCTTTCCCTATTACCATCACTATCTCAGCAGAGATATTTAGGAATGATAGAAGAAAGGGWTCGCATCAAAACCAATCTCCAATTGCTCCTGTTATCTTTTCCACAATTYGGATAGCTTGCTATTGATTAYTATGCAGGCTCTGAAGTAATTACATTGAAGCAAGGGGGAAAATGTAAACTCTGCCAACAAATCTGCATGCAACAGATCCCACTCAAGGGTAACTTATCTACTGAAGGATTCATTGAAATTTCCTTGCCTTTCTGATTAAAATTTCAGGGATAAAAATAAATATGATTTGAGAGATTTATGATTTAATATTTTGTACTGAGTGTATGGAGGTCAAGGAAATAGAGGAAGATCTTCCTGGTATAAGGAAAGGCATCTATGAGCCACTAAGTTAGCAGGAAGCACTGTAAAGTTCATTGTATGTATTGATAAATCCATAACTACACAGAAAGTAAAAAATCAAAAATAGAGAAACTTCCTACTGACAAAATTCCTCTTTATAATATTTGTGCCATTGTCTTCAGCCAGTACAATAACATTTTAGCTGACACTGCTCACTCCAGTGCAAGTCCACTTCAATTGCTCAAAACCTCCATTCAACTGCAATACATCTTTCCAGCCATTTTTTTCCATTTTTTTCCAGTTTTTTTTTCCTCTCTATAACAATCATGAGCATCAGATCAGATATGCCTTAGCTGCAAATCACTCAAATATACTCAGCAGCACATGATACTTCAAAGAACTGGCAATTGAATGATCCATCAACTACTYGCCACAAAGAGTGTTATTCACAGGACATCACATTTTGTCTTTTGATAGACTTAGTTCCCTGCTAGGCAACTTAAAAGTTCTTGACTTACTATTGTTTGCATATGAAGTCATTTTTTAATGAGTTAACATGGAAATATGGAACCTTATCTTAAATCCTGAATTGCTAACTTGAACACTTGCTTTTAAGAGGGCTTAATATAAAGCTAGTTCAGTGGAATTGTGGTCTTGGTTCATGTTTGTACAGAAACAGAACGTATCAATGAAAAATTATAACTTATTCATCATTTTATTACTCTTAGCAATGGAAATGTAAACATACAACCAAATTTAGCAGAAAAATGTAAAAGAAAGCTAATCAGGACTTCTTAAAGTAAACTTCTTTGTTTTAATTCATGATCTACAGTCAGCTGGACCAGAAAGGGCTGGAGAATGAAGAGAAAGCAAAGAAAGCAGGAGGCAGCAGCTGCACAGGACACAAATTTGTCCCTCCTGTAGTAGGACTCATTGTGAAGGTAGTCCTGAAAGGAGCCTTTTCTCACCTCATTTGGAGATGCATGACCTCCTCCTCATTTGGAGATGCATGATTTGAGATCAAATGCAAGATAAAGCAAGGACACGTTAAAGTGATGCTTGAGCCACATTATTAGTTCTTCTCCCACCATAGGAGAGCATGCAATTCTGGTATCTACCAGGGGTGAAGGAGAATCCTTCCCAAGGAGGATATTACTCAAGAGATGCTGCCATCAATTGCAGTGGGAACACTTGGCCAAGTACTCAGCAGCATCAAGGCCTTTGCCTTTAAAATTGCACTATATTTCATACATAACTTCAGGCTGCCTTCTATATCATCCATTTCATCATTAAGAAATTACTTTTACTCACAATATTTTTACTCTAATATACCTGCAGGGAAATACACATTTGCTCTACAAGGGAAGCCTTCAAAAATTGAAATTAGCAAGTCCTTCATCCTTTGCCTTCCCTTGATATAAGCCAAAATATTCATTGTGCTTGTTAAAATAAAAATACACAGTACTGAAAAAGAAGATATAATTCTAATTTATAGAGACAGTATTCAGTCAACACTTTGATTTAAGTCATTTATATGTGCTGCTTTAAATAACCATCCTCCTACACAGAGGAAGAACAAATAAACAGCTGGAATTCAAGTTGATGTTTTATCCTGTACAATGACCATTCAAATAGAAAATTCTCTGCTGATTACATTCATTTGGTAAGGATAAAAACTATTTTAGCAAATTTATGAAGATTAGAATAGTCATGACTCATGGGAAAATTTATATAAGCAGTGCTAAAACATACTTTTAGAGCATGAAAGAGGTAAAGTTCTGGCAGTGGCTGCATTAGTAAAGAGAAGATGTACAATAATATTGATTAACATTTGTATAATACCTGCCTAATTAAAAATATACTGTTATATTTTGCAGCCAATAGATTAATCTATTTTTCAACCATTTTTAAAAGAGAAAAAAACATAAGTCTAGTTCAGAAATATTTTTCGTCCAGCAAATTGCCAAATAAGAGGCTAAAATGTAAAATATTTTTTCCATTAGTTTTAGGTAATTGAAATGCAAAGTGCTGAACACTTAATCTTCCCAGGCAGGGAAAGCTGCCTGCTGTCAGATTTTATTAAGTCTTTTTGCTGCTCTTTGTATAGTCAATAACAAGTGTCTAAAATGCAGGAAATGATGTAGAGGTAGTGTTCAAAGGTAAGGATATGATAAGGTGGTGTTTGCATTCAGGATAATATGAAAAAGTCCAGCATGTATCCAGGAAGATTTTTCTTCATGTCAACTAATTAGCATGTTTATTGGAAGCATTAATTATTCTGACAACCTCAGAGATTTTTAAGTGAGTTAACTCCTTACATGCTCCCTTCCTACAAGCCTTTCCACACCAAATGTATATTTGGCAACTATCAGAAGTAGATTTACATATCTTAAAGCTAAAAATAATGGTGGTTCCCAATTTTAGCACACATTAGAGTGCCAAAAGAAATTTTGCCATAAAAAATGATCCTGRCCTCATTTTCAAAACAAACCAAAGTTACAGTTTTGGTAAAAATTGAAAAGACCTTGACAATTTCCATAGAGATAACCTTGCATTTAATCACTCAGTATTATCCTAGCCTTAAAAATATAAATCAGAATTAAGCCTACAGCTGGGAAAGCAGCAGTTTACATGAGCCTGTTATCAAAGCAGCCACCAAAGCTGGCACAGGTGGGCTGTCTGGAGCACGGTCCCTGCACAGGGAGCCAAAGAAAGTTCAACCTGTTTATAAAACAYCCAGATAAAATAATGACTTTGCATATGGGAGGGGAGTTGGGTCCAYAGTGCTTCAATTGCTCAGCATGTGTGTATCCTAATTGCTGTTGATGAGAGAGTATCGAATAAACCACACATCTTTTGTGTGTCCCAAAATGTAATTCCTGGACACCCAGAATAGAAAGTTGTTGAAATATTCCCAAGCTAAAGACTTGAAGGATTGTAAAAAAATAAAGGTCTCTGTATTCAGAGGCCTTTCATTGCTCACTCTGTTCACTCATTCACCTGCTACTAAATATATGCATGGAAGTTGTTGTTATTAGCATGAATGTATATGAAATGAGACTTGGGTGTTCATTAACAAGTTGCCCTTGCGGAGCTCTTGAGATTTGGCACTATCCTAGTAAATATTTTTCTAAAGATTTCCTATTCTAAAGATTTCCTATTACTGTCATCTGCTTTATTGGCCAGCAAGATGGGACCAGTGTCTACATCTGCCTCGAGATGCCCCGAATCTARAATTATCATGTAGCTTCCTCCCCTCCCCCAAATTAGCTTTATTCTTCCTCTGAAAAAAAGAAAAATTAAATGGACAGAGATCTAATTACCAATATCTCCAACCATCATTAACAAACGAGACACAACATGAATTTAATATCACTTCAGGGAGATTGTTACATTTGCAATCCCACAAAGCTTTTTAAAACACCTTTCATTAAGGCTGCACCCCAAGCATTTCAAAAAAATCAATAATACACTTGTGAATAACCAATAATTTGGGGATAAGAAGGAAGAATTTAAGAAACTCCATAAAAAGAAAAGTATTAAGTCAGAATAACATTCAAAAAACAGCTAAGTGACTGAGTGCATTGGTAATGGTGATTGTGGACACATCTGAGTTGCTTCTGCTGATATTAGCCCAATATTAACTGATAGAAAACAGATTGTTCTTTATGGACAGACTTTGTGGTCTGGAGGCAGGTGTATATAAAAAAAATTCAAGAAAATTTCAAGAAAAGATTCTTGAAAGCTCAGAGCTTGCTGTACAACTGAGGCATTTCCAGAACCAAATAAAAAGCAGTGTTTTTCCCAGATGCTGAACAAATCGCATTACTCTTATGGAAAACAACAAAACCAAGTAGGAAAATAGAGCAAGAGAGAATTTGGGGCACTCAGTGTTTGTTTAGAAGAAAACTGCCAGGCTGGTCCTATTGAGGTTAAACCAGGAAGGTTTCTATCGAGAAACAAAATCTTAGGGAACTTAAACCTGTCTTCACGTCCCCTGTGTTCAGAGAGCTGCTGACCTTGAGCTATACAGGCAGGACACCAGGAACTTCAGGTTTTTGTAAAAGGTTACAGCTCAGGGATCAGAGATGTAGATAATTATGTAAGGGCACAGAGATCTCAGGAACACACTAGAGGTTTCTATCTCTATCTTGATGTATGTCAAAACCCGCAACTCTGATGTTAAATACTTACCTTTTTTAATTTTACAGTCTGAACTTACTTTTAAGGTACTCAAGCACGTTTAGTTAATCACTTTTGTATGTCAAGAGGAGAAACAAGATCAAAAGCTCYTCCTGATACATGAAAGCCTGAGCATCATAAAAGCAAAAGGCATAAAAACCCTCACTTGCCTCTCCAAAATACTGTCTATAGCATCACACTATTTTACCATAGCCAACCTTTTCTTCTTTTCCTTGCCAKATGTTCCCAAAATGGGGTATATATTGCATGATAAATACTGCTGCTTTATCATTTCAGATATATCTTCAGTTTAGACATAAAAATCTTTAGCATTTTGTTGTGCCACCAGTGTTCTGGAACAATTCTCATTGCAGCTACAAGTGTTGCCACCCACTAACTACAGCATTAATCAGCATACAAAATTAATCCCAATATCTTCTAGACATATTTGCATGCAGTAACAAAAAAAGGCTAAAGAAAATATAATAAAAATCTGTGCTCTAAAGAGAGAAACAARGATGAAGACACAAGTTATAAATGTGGAATAATGGATCCAAGTGGAGCTGATAGAACTCTTCCATATTCTGATGATTAAGTTAATTTATTCTAGAGCATTAAAATATACCTTTCAAAGGAGATATTGAAGTTGGCTAGAAATTTAATGCTTTCCCCTGGGAAGGAAAGGGAATCCAAGCCAACAGCGAATATCTGAAGCCAAAATAATGTTTCACAAAAGACTAGGAAAAATCAAAGGGGAAAATAAATTGCTGAAAAACTTACTGGTTTGCTATTTAAAACTGCTGTCCATCTGCAAGTCTATTTAAGTCAGAGGGAACATTGACTACCTTTTTAAATGGGTGAAAGAAACAATAACTGGGTAGGTTCAACAAGATTTCAGAAGGCCAGTGATGCAAGATCAAGAGTTCTTAACTAGTGTTATAAAAAAAGTTTAAGAAGAAATGTCTCAGAATTCACAATGCAAACATCTGCCAATTTACTTTTTTTTATAAAAAACAAGACTCATTTCCTCTACAACCTGATGAACAAAACATCTTGGTGACAAGTACAGGATTATAAGTAAGTCTGTACTAACAAATCAGTATTCAAGACATAAAAAAATGGTGAGAATATATATATCAAAACTTGCCTCAGTGATCTTTTACTTTTAGCTTTGTTTTTCAGGAACACACAGAAAACTAAGCAGGTTAAAAACCCTTCAAAATGCTTTGACACTGACATATCTGGGCTTATAAACAGTACACTGAGAGCAGAACACTCCAATCCTTTATTCTCAGCTTTCCCAAGCCAGAAAACAATATCAAAGACTTGCAGTTGTCACAAGAATAAAGGACTGCAGGGTACCATTTCATATTATTTTTAAGCTTAGGATGTGTTAGTTGTATCATTCATGAGAAGTTCTTATAGCCATGGAGGCTCCACTGGCTTTTTAGGAGATACTTCCAGGGGCTAATGGGGTGATTCGTATCACTATTTGAGCAATTACTCACTTTGATGGGAGGTTTCTCTCAAATTAAACTCCAGTTGACAAGAACTACCCTGTGAATACATTCATTTCTAGACCACACCATGGTATCACCTGCTTTCCATAAGCTGCTCAAGACCAGAAACTTCCTTTCTGAAAAACAGTTCATTGGTTTTTACGTTTTGCACCATCTCAGCCAAAGGGCTTACCCAGTTCACTTAACCATCACAGTAGTTCCATCAGAAATACATGGTCACCTTTCTCCTGCCATTGCTGACCAGTCAGATAACATCCCTGTCCCCAATCCAGTGGGCTGCCAGGTGGAAGAAAGGCTGCACAGGGATGTTGGTCTGGTCTCCATTTCCACCACAGGTGRGTCCCACAGGTGCAGTATGAGAGCTCCAGCCAAACATGCTCCTCACATGTCTTCTTGTTCACCAGGTACATTGATTTGCTGCTTTTTACAGTGTATCCTGAAAAATTTGAACAGTTGTCCGGATCACAACTTCTACAGCCATCTCTAAGTGAACACAAGTTGTTTAAGAATGCTGTAAGCTTTTGAAATACTTGGGCACACTGAAGAAAGTTAAGAACATTTGTGCTTTTTGCAATAAAAGTCAAGGTAACTGCTTTGAAAATTGTTGCAGTCTTTAGGAACAGTGGAGGACGATTTTAGGAACATTCATCAGGAAGATTAAGTACATTCAATTTCTTTAATGACAGAAAGGCCATTGCAAATGGCTGCATGCTGTGTCATATGATACACTTTTAAAAGATCTGACTACTGAGATGCTATTAAATTAGAACCACTCTTGGTGAAAAGTGTCTTAAATTGCCCTATTTCTTGTAAGAAAAAAATATTTTTGTTCCTTCCTGTAATTTGTCATAGCCACACAAATCTATTACATGGCTTGACACCTTTTTGAAGAGYAATTTCTAAGAAAGCTCATAAGAGAAAGATGAATCCACATTTCAAGATACAAAGAGACATCTGGGTGAAATAATACAGAGCAGCAGTAGCGCCCACACAGCTAGCTGTACCTTTTTCCCCTCTCCCATACAAAGGATTTGTACCACCCCTGCACTGCTTTCCATCTCCTGAGCCCTCAGGAGCCAATATGGGAATAGGAGAATTTACTCTAAGCAATAATGAGTCTTCCAAAAAGCCTGCACAGCCCCGTGTGCAACCTACCACCTTGTGAGCTATGGGTGACTCACCAGCTGCAGAAAATACAAGAAAAAAAATCTTGCTGACCAGCAGACTTGAAATCTTCACCTCAACTGACAGCACTGTCCATTTCAGAGGGGAATGGTTCAGCTAAGCATTCTCCTACTCAATATATTTCAACTCTAAAGAGAGAAATCTTATCCAGCAAATAATTAGATCTGCTGGCCAGGATGCAGAATTGAGCACTCCAGGCAAACATCAATGGAAAGATACCTCTGCAAGACCTTTTAAAAGTGTTGTGTCACCAATAGACATCAAAACATGCTCCTGAGTTACACTCGTAAATGGAGAAAAGGTGCATTTTTCTTGAAGCCATTAAGTTTGGACCACTGCTAATATGGATTCACTGTCTGAAAGATACAGGCAGAGGGAAACAGAGRTGCTTTATGTACAAGTGCACTATGCTTTACACATTCTGAATTTAAAAAATTGGTTTTAGGAGGCAAGTGTGATCAAGACGCTCCTCCTGAGAAGGCATGGTGGTTTTCTTAGCACCACTTCCAACATTCAAGAGAAGCTCAGCTCAACTGTGATGCTTTTCAATTCCCTGAAGCACTAATACACTTAATTGCTTCCAAATACAGGTTGATTTTGCTGTACAAAATTTAATGTGTTAAGCCAGGTTATACAGATAGGAATGATGCCTGTTATCATGGTATCACTCCCATCTCCTATCAGCAGAGATGCTGGGCAGTTGTACCATGACCAGAGAGATCAAAATCTGACCCTTCTGTGCTGCAGAGATTGCATTATCTACCTTGCCAGCTGGCTAAATACTTCCATCCAGCTTTCTTGGAGACAGTTACTGCTTTGAAATTCATTAGGGAGAATGATTCATACATATAGTAATAAATGTCTACAAATACTGTTTAATTTTCCTATACAGTTTCCTGAATTCCCCTACCTTAGTAGATTCATCAAAAACCTGCATTTTTTTCCTAAAATGCAAAGAATCACACTGAAATCCTTCAATAGGTTAACACATTTTATGGTACCACTTACTTTCATTTTAAGACATCTCTTAATTTTAGTCAAATGTGACAAAGAAAATAAAAATGACACATTAAAATGAATGCAGTAAATATTTTTTTCTCCCCTTTGGGGGGGAAGTGTATTTTCTGATGTTTTTCCACTAAAATGAAAAACATTATAATTGATTTTCTCCCCTTTTTCTTTTTCCCCTGTGCACCTGCTCACSAGAGGGGCCGTGATTAGGGTTTTGGAACCTGATCTGTATTCTGCATTCAGCTTTCCATGCTACTCTTTCTTGAATCTGCTTGACAAATTCAAATACTTGGTAATTTTGTTCCCCATTTTCAATAAGAATAAGGTTTGCCTCAAAACCCTGGTACCTGTCCAAATTCACGCTGAGCTCTGGATAAGCACAGTGAGCCAGAATCCCAAAGCAGAGCTGCTCTGCATCCTTCTTGCATCTTGCCCTTAGATTCTGATTGAAGGAGGAGCTATCCTTTAGAGAATACAACATCCAAATCTGCTTATGGGAAGAAATGTCCATAATTTTGTTCATAAACAGCCTAGCACAACAGGGCCCTTATTTCAGGTGCTTTACCATACCAGCTACAAAGAGTAGCTCTTATGAAGATATCTCATAAGACACTAGGTCTTACCAAGCATGTTACCATTTCCCAGGTCAGATTAAGATAMAAATGCTTTCTTTCATGGATCTGTATGTACAGAAATACAGAAAAGCATTGCTCTAACTTGAACACCAYGCTGGCAACCATCACAGTTGCCAGTGGACTCGTGAGATTTTGCATATTCTTGATGACTAGATGCATTCATTGAAACTTGGAGAGCACTTGAGTGGATAAGGAGAAGGAGTTCCTTTTATGATCCTTATGCAGTATCTTGTCTGATTCATATATCAGACACTGTCATTATATAGTATAGATAAGCTGCCAAGCCCCAGAAAGACTGCTAAAAGCTTTTCAAGTACCTGGTGTGGAAATAAGAATGGTTATTTATATATTCCAGGTTTTGCAAACAGGTTAAACATCATAAGATGCTGCTCGTTTCATCTTTTAACACTGTCAGAAGTAACAGTGCAACAGAAATAATTGCTGCTTTATTTTGTATCATAGTGACTAGTGAAGCTGTTACTTGTTTCTGAATKAAGCTCAATAATTTCAATGGCAAACTTATTCAAAACACTTCACTAGATGCGCACATGATGTTCCACCAATATATAACATGTTTCACTCAACCCCTTTCTCCATCCCACTTGGCTGGTCCTTTAGAAACCTGCCAATAGGACAGACAAATCCAGTTTTCATACTCAGCTAAATCCTTTAGCAATGATATTTAAAAGAAAAGTTCAAGTATGTGCAGAGGTCCCCTTAGGCTTTAGGAGGGCTGCTCATGGACTAAGAACATTACTACACAGCACCACTGCAACATAGCAAGCTAAAATACACACCAATCTATTCTAGGCATTAAGAAGGCAATGAGTTGATTTATTTGCATGAATATTCAGAAGGACAACCAGATATTTGATTCCCTCACCTTGAGAAAGGCTGCTGAGCCTTCCCAGGAACTCCCCAGGGTCTACTCCATCCCAAATAGCCAATTTCCATGGAAGCCCCAGAGCTCAGGGAGGGTTGTATTATTACAACAATTGGCTTGGGATAAGAAAAGCTTCAATCTACTGAAACACACACCTAAAGACTTTTACACTGCAGTCAATGAYTGAAGTAGCAGGAAAATCTCCATAATCTGCCTCATCCTATTACTTGAAATGAGTCTTCATTCTCCAAGTTTGAAGCTAAGAAATGTTTCCCTAAGTAAATACATACACAAACACATGCCTTTTTAAGGCATAATGTGAATAGTGACTTATTGCAGGCACACTCAACCAAGTTATAAATTTAAAAAGAAAATTAGATTTATAAATCTAATTTTCTACACATCTAAACCTTGTTTTAATTTCTTTCTTATTCTGTCAAGGTCAAGGTGATGGATATTAGAGCTGCTGTTACTATTTTTACAAACATCAGGCTGACACAAAGGAAATTACTGCATATTGGTTATCATACAGAACATAAAAACAAAAAAAATCATGGCTTCTCCCCTWATCAAAGAAAATAATTCAAAAAATTGAAAACAAGAAAGAAAATTTCTCATGAGTTTACTGATTAGGTTCACCGAATTCAGTCTTCCCAGCAGAGAGGCATTAAGACAAGGTCCCTTCCACTTCCTTCTGCTGGAGCTTCAGCAGAAGCTGGTGCATTTTCTTTGGTACCATCTCAAGAATCTGGAAGCTTGTCTTGAGAGAGATTTTCACTAATATCTTGAAGAACTACGTCAAAAGGCAGTACMGCACAGAACTAAAGAACAAGAGAAGGCCTTGCACACAGGCAACTGAAGGTTGATGTTTATTTTATTGCCATTGCTCAGTATCATCCTAAGCCAGAAAAAGCTGGACTTTTCTTTTACTGCTTTAGATGGTCAAATCTGTGTCAGCGCTTTGCAAAGAGTGTAAAAATCTTCCAACCTTACAGTTACAATAGATTTGACTGAAGCACGTTGTTCTTAGATTACTGAAASTTTGGGGTGCAGTTCTCTGTTGATAAGCACTGCTTGTTTTGATTTTCAAGATCAGAGGGGATAAATTTATTTACACACTTTCAACTGCCTTAGAAATAACCATCAAAAATGCTAAAAGAATCAGGTCAGGCTCCTTTTAGAAAATTCAATGTCCGTTACAAGAATGGAGAGAGACAACTCTCCAGTGAACCACATTTGATGTAAACTGAGGGGAACTGCTAGCTGCAGTGGTATACAGCCTTCTCTCTGAACTTGGTGGCATTAGATTTATAAAACAAAGTGCAAAGTCTCTGTGCACTTCCTTTGATGTTCCAACTGCCTCATTTGTGCTGATGAAGTTCAAAGATAAAGGTGACCATCAGGYTCCTTCCACATACAAAATATGGATGCAAACCAATTGCTTTTCCTAAAGGACCGATTTCTATAGTGCATTGCTAAAGAGTATACACTATCCTATGTCAAAAGCATTAAAAGTTGCCTGAAATTCAACCATTAATATACCCAGTTCATAACTTCTACCAAACCCACCTGCAAAGCAGGGTCTGCAAACCTTCTCCAGCTCATCAGGAGAAGCTGAAACACCACTACTGTGAACACAACTCTGCAAAACAAACAAAAAAATTCTTTGCATATACAAGAGGACTTGGGTAGTACCTCAGACGATGGSTTTGGGAGGTCACACTGCACCATAGACCTCAAATATGAATGTGTACAGCCTGTTCTTGGTATGTTTGCCAGTCTTGGACACTTTCTTTATTAGAGGAGCCAGAAAGTCTCACACATTGACAGGACTGGCTCTAGGAAAGAGACAATTTAAAGATTTTATGATCTTGCCTTTTAAGGGCAATGCTTTTTYTTTCACTGAAAACTCAAAGCAGTTTGCTTTCCATTTTTATTTATGGATCGTTTCAGACTGATATAAAGAAAATTAGAGATGAGATCTAGTTTCTTTTTACTAATAAACAGCATTTTTTTAAGCTGGGAGGAAAGATGCAGACACACAATGAGGCCTCAAATATCTTCAAATCTGATTTTTTTTTTTTTCCTCCTTAAAGGTACAAAAGTCAAAGACAGCTGTTCCACTGCAGCGGAAGATTTGCAGTGACTTTAATGACCCAAGTTATATTAGGAAAAAATATCTTCTGCCACTTAAGATATTTACCAAGTGAATGTGCAACTTTTCTGATGTCTGAAATTTTTCCCGTACTCCAAAAGAACAGGAAGTAGGTGTCCATCACTGACAATCTAGAAAAATTAGCAGAAATACTAATGAAACAAAACGGACATAAAGCTATAAGCACAACCAGTTATTTTTTGCTTTAGATGTCTCCTGTGTTACAAGAGACAAGAATAATTTATGTGCAAAACCTAGAAAAAATACTTAAATTTTATTTTGAAAGTGTATGTATCTGAGGCAAAATGAGAGACTTTTCTTAAATTTGTAAGCTGCCAAGTCCAACTCTCCTTTGCAAAGTCATCCAAGAAAATTTGCTCCAAGAAAAAAAGCCTTCATAAATTTCTCCTAGATAAAAATTAATGTCAGCCTCTTCCTCACATTGAATTCAAGCARCTATGGAAAACATTAGAAATCTTACTTATGAAATATGTTCAGACTAAGGGCTTTKTTTCCCATTCATAGTCTGGCTTGGAACATCTGCTCTTCCCTTAAAATTTAAATCAGATCAGGCACTCCAATGTTTCAAATTGCCAATAAGTAAATAAACATCACAAGAGTTAGAGTATTTTCATCTTACAGAAAGATTTTTCCTCTACAAAAGAGGAAAATTCATAGAGCATATGTTTGGGAGGATTTAGGGAGTTCTTTTCAATTTTATTGAGGCACCCATGAGGATTGTAAGATTTTTGGTGCTCTGGCTTGTAACATACCCCTGTGAAGCTTTCCTGTTGATGTGTGAATTTTAAACAATGATATTTATATTCATTATAAAATCAGATGAAGTACTTACTGAGTTTCAGCTTGTAATGACTGGACACAGAAGAGCAACCTGACAATAAAAAAATCAGTTAGTTTGTTGGCCTAAACACTCTCAACCTTGCCAGATACAGCTGATTTCTCACAAACCCTGGTACAAGGTCTTCCTTAGAGGATATTTGACTTTTCTTATTTGCATTTTGCTCTCTGATATTTAATAGTAAGCATTATTTTCCACATTCRTGTGTGCAGGGGGGTTAGACAATACCTACATAATGAACCAATATAATGGTATATAATGGAACAATAAAACAAACAAATGTGAAAACCATGTTAGAGTAGCATAGGAAGAAAGATGGAAAACTAAAATTAATATGATTTTATTTGAAATACTTATATTAGTAAACAAGCCTAAATTAAGCTTATTTTAAAGGTAAAAATCCATTCTATGTAGCAAACAAAAAATAATTCAGTTAGAAACTCCTGTTTGAGCAGAATATTCACTTCAATTCACTGCTAATGCTTCATTCTGTTATGATGGTGAAATCATCATGAACAATTTTTGCGTTGTTTTATTCTACTGTATTTCAGGCTCAAATAACTTCAGCCTTTTATTAACTGCACAACTGAGTCCTATTCATCAGTTAGGCAGGTGTATTGCCTGATAATGCAATAAGCTTTCGTGAATGTATGAGTAGTTTGATTTCTTTTATACCAGTAATCAGTTCTGAGAACATAATAAAAACAAAAGTTTTATTTTTTCTTACTGGTAGCAGAGCTATAAATTATCATCCATCAGTAATAACCGTTGTCATTTAATAAAAATAAACCTTTTCTTAATCTCACTTGGGACTTAATAGATAAAAATAAACAATAATATTAAAGCTAGTGCTAAAATGAAGGATTGCTACAGCTGAGGATGTGCAAGGAAGTTATGTAGATAACATTTTGGCAACAAAAAGGAACTAATTTAGCGGTAATATAATAGATAACCCAARCTTTTCTGAAGCATAAATAGCTCCTCTAGTCCTAACTCACTTTCCAAGCACTTCAAAGCCTCCAAGAAAGAATCATTCAGGAAAGTAAATATAGAAAAGTACAAAATCCAGGCTGAATATTTTCAATACTTCACCTAAAAAACAGTCTTAAGATGTTCGCTCAGAAAGAATCTGCAAAGAAGCACTGCTCTAAGTTGAGCTCAGATGGGRCTATGGTCAGAGCTCTCCAGCTTTCCCTTCCCTCTCCCCTCTAATCTACTGCTGAGCTAAACGTTGACTTTAAACAACCAACGTGAAGATTTAATACTTCAAAGTCACTTGGCTGCAGGTCCTGTGACCACAGCCAGATAAACACCGTATCTGTAAAACCAGGTACAAGCAACAAAGTCAGCCTTGAGCAGCTGAAAGAAATTCAAATAATTTGAAGTCTGAAAAAATTATTTTCAGAGAAGGTTCCCAAGAACTGTTGGATGCGAGTCTAAGACTTAGCTTGTATTTCGAGTGAAGCATCTATGCAGATAAACACATATACAGTATTTTAAAATAACAAATGGAATAAAGCATCTTAAGCAAAACTACTACTTAACCTCCCATGCCARGTAAGTTACAACTTTTGACTGTCCGCCCAAAACAGACCACTCCTGAGTTTTCTCACTTAAGGAACTTCATGTATTAAGCACTTTAAATGCAAGTTTCAGACAGTTGTGCCTCACTTCACCGGCAAGAATATTACTAACATTTGTCAGTTCTAGCCTATTCTATAATAAATCTTCTCATTTCACCACTCGTGCTCTCTTTCCCCGTTCCCAGTTACAGAAGTCCACGAAGATAAAAAGCAAAGCAAAAAAAATTGTAGGAAAAAATTCTCAGTGTGGACAAGTTTTAAGAGCCAAGTGCATCATTTAGCCCCCTTAGAGAAAGAAAGTCTCCCAGTCTCTCTAATGGGCAGCTAATTCAAACTACATCAGTTCATACCAAGAGAAGGATAAATTCATCGCACACATAGCTAGTATTGCTAGTTTAGCAGCACAGCCAGTGCAACATTATAGGCTTCAATATTCAGGCATGAAGCATGATACATCATCAGCTCACTCATTACACTGCCTAAGAAAAGCATGACTTAAAGATGAGGGAATTTGTCGTCTCCTCAATATGACACTGTATGCTTCAAAGATTAGCAACATAAAACTTCCCTCACATTAGCTCCACTAATTCTGCTGGGCTACAATAACTTAACAAATATACTTAGGATTTTCACAATAAAAAGAAAGGGATAAGGCAATTAGTTGCTACCCACAAAAAGCTTTGAGCGAATTTATTCAACACAACATCAAARTTACACATTGGATTAGCAGGTTGTAAATGATAATCTAGCACCAGCCTCAAATGATGATTTTTGCATCCCATCTAGAAGGGAATAAAAATACTTTTTCCTCCCTTGCTCTCATTTTGACAGTGAAAACTTTCCAGTTACAATTCATATACAATTCAGTATTTTATGCACAAGTGAAGGAAACTAGCAACATTTAAATGACAGAGTTATCAGTCTTTTTGGTATATTGCAGCTGTTTGGAAAGCCACAGGGCAAAGGCATTTATATATGAGATAAGCGCAGCCTGTAGAACAAATTAATGCTCGATTGTGAATTAAATGGCATGTCTTCGGACAGCTAATTAGCTCTGTGCTGCTCAATTAAGCTTTGAAAGGACATGTTGTGTTTCTTGATGGAAGAGAAATCATTTCCAGGCTGTTTCGTATTCTCAGGGTTTTCTGTTTCTCTGACTGAGAAGTCCATGAAGAAATAAAGAAAAATCCAACAGAATTACCAAGAGGTATCAGAAGCTAAACCACAAAGACTACAAAGTTATTTTCAATACTCCCAGAAGTCTTTGATTTTATGTCAAATGGCTTAAAAATAAGCTAGCTTGGAATAGCAACGAACTATAAATCCATGTCTACAATGTTTTTTAGACTAGAAAAGTAGCAAACCCAATCTGAGCAAAGGATAAAGAGACTGCAGAAGAACTTCCAGTGATTAGTTAACATTGCATCTTCAATTAATCTAAAGTTTTCTGCCTTTCCTTTTCTCAGCTCCCAGCACCCTAGGCACATAATCTAGTAACAAGCACTAAGAGGTCATGGGGCTTCTCATTTAAGAGTATGAAAAGATGCTAAGAGGGTCAAGCCCTGATTAAAAATATAGTTATGCAAATCCATTGAGATAAACCCCGAGAAATACCTAGGTCTGATGTCCCTCAACTTTATTTCAATCACATTTGTTTCTTCTGGTGTCATCCCAACAAAGGCAGATTTTTCTTCTTGCATTCCACTTGCCAGCCTTAGAGTACAAAAGCCCAGTTACACTGGCAGGGAGAGAGTGTAAAACTAAATGAGATTTCCAGCAAGGAGTCATAATTTCTAGATCCAAAATTTAAGTTATKGAGGCTGAATTCAGCTCTAGCCAAGGCATATCAATCAGGATGAGATCCTTTCTTTTTCACAGCCCATTTTTCACTCTTCTATACATTAATCTACAGCTGAGCTGCAGACTGGACACAAAAAATATTTATTCTGTGCAAGAAAATAATCACCAAGTAAAACCTCACGATCAAACGCTGGCTTTTAGCATCAGACATGATAAATTGACAGTGTCAGATTTCTGTGCTTAGGTATCTTCTTCAGTCTGAATCTTAAAGTCATGAACATTTAATAACTAAACAATGTGAATTATGAAATAGACATTTGACATTTCTACAATAAATCACTGAGGGTCACACTAAGAAACAATACTCAAAACCTGAAAAATTATTCTAAAACTGAAGTAGTTTTCATCTTCATTTACCAGTTCTATCTGTTGCAGTTTTCCAAGCAAATTCTGGATTTAGGCAACCATACTCCAAATGCAGATTTTGAAATCCAGCCCAAGGAATGACAGCTGTCTGCAGGCATAAATGTACATTGTATCTATAGAGATGTCAATATATGAGAAGCATATAGGATAGTACTTTCCCTTGTCAGAGRGCTAGAATAGTTATATACAAAGTTAATTTTCCCTGTAACTATACTTGTAAAGATTTGTACTTCCAAAGATGCAATTCAGCAGATATTGCATAACTACAGTAGTCTACAAATATATAAATACATATATTCTAGATATAAAATACATCTTGCACRCTCATCTGTAAGACCATAGCAGGGAACCCTCATTAAATAACTCATTTTCTGTTTTATTTTCTTTCTCCAATTTGCTTCGTATGAAGAAAATACCTTATGCTTTTCTGGTCTTGGGACTCTTATTCAGGAAGGAAACAAAATTCCTCAGGGTTACGTAGGAAAATCTTTGACATCAAATGTTAATCCACAGGYAGCAATGTCAAGAAGTAGAACCTAGGGACTCAGATGAAAACCCATCCAGAATCYGATAGGAAATATTAGCTTATTCTCAACGAGTATTTTCACAATAGTGCTGATTGGACCTTACCAAGGGGCTGTCTTTTTAAAGATGTTCAGTTTTCATAGATGTTCCAGAATATGAAAACTTTAAATCTTTTGCTATCCTTGCTCTCAAGGCTTTCATCATTGCTTTCCTCATCAAAATTAAGACAAATTCTCTCTTGATGTTTTCTTACTAGCCTTAGAAAAGGAAAGTCAGAAACCAGAGGCTATGTGATTGCAAGCATACAACTGTTATTTCATTATCAACTGGGAAATGAAATATCTATACCTACATCTGACAGGCAAAAAATGCCACAGATGGACAAGAATGATGCCACTGACAGTGCCAAGTCCTTTCTCAAGATGAATTTAKASTCTCATTTCCTAATGTGGTCAGTAGTTCTTAAATAGATCATTTCCCCAAACAGAAACCTAGCAAAGGATGCCTGGTATATGTCAGCAGCAAAAGAATGTTTTCTTAAATACCAAAAATAAGAGCAAAAAAACCCACAAAGGAAAAAAACACCCACAACCAGATATCATCCTTCATTTTCCATGAACCAAAGCTCAGTGACAAGCAAAGGGCTGAGATTATTCAGAGATAATGGAGGATTTGCACCTGTGGTCYTGACTACCTGCA